GCACATGATCTTCTTAGGATGGAAAATTTCAATAATGTAAACAGGTATAAGAGAAGGTCACAATTTTTTTTAGCAATGCTTTTAAAACCCCGTCTACCTATCTTGGTTGTATGTATACAATATTAATGCATTTATTAGGTTTTAGTTATTTTTATTAATAAAAGGACTTAATTAATAGTTCATAAAATATTGCAGGCAATTGTTAGATGGAAGGCAAATATAACTTAATATTATGGTAAATAATACTAGGGATGTGTGAACCTTAATAGACAACTTGACTCCAAAGAATTGGAACTAATTCATCTCATAAACAAAATATTTAAATCAGTTTAATGCAAGGTATCAGACTGAGTCATGTGCTTTTTGGAATCATTCAATGCCAATTCAGAGACTCACATGGACTTCCTAGATTTTGCAGAGCTTTAAAATATATAATCTCAGATATAACACAGTTCATTTTAGAAACACAGAGAGGCAGATTTATTTGTGTGTAACATTAGCAGAATTGCAAAAAGAATTTTCATCTAGATGCTAACATATGTTCCATTTTCTGATAATACCTAGGGGTTTGACTTCCATTTGAAATTCAAAAATCCTCTGACCTCTTTCTCACTCAAAACTGATGCCGGGGTTTTGATCCTCAATGTTCAATGGAATACAACATCATAAAAATAGAAGCCTCTACTCAGTCCCTTAGGATCCTCAATCCTCAAGATGTGTTTTAAAGTAGGTTTTCAGAACCTGTTGCATACATAGTTGGAATTTTTTCTCCCATTTTAAGCTGTGATTGAAGTTTTGTTAGCAGAAGAGAAGAATTGGCTTCAAACTATGTATTATTCCGCATATATTACATCAGTGAGAATGATAGCATTTTAGTTTACATTGTGCAAAAAGTAGAGATTTATACACATTCTGTATACAAGTAAGACAACAAATATGAAATCTACATTTTACATGCTCAGTTGCTAATTCATCCTTGTGGAATATCTACTCATTCCTCCTAATATTCCAGAAGTTAATGAAGATGAGATCCTTGCATTGTTTGGACTTTGATCAGTTCATGTTTGTTTTAATGTAATTGTATTTATTCTAGATTTTTAAAATTAATTTATACTTATAGTTCTTGTTCTTTGTTACCTAAAATAATATGAATCTTGATCTGGTAGGAGAGAAATGGAGTAAATAAATGAATATGGTACTCAATAGAGAAACTTGAGTAGCCACGTTAGCCACCTAGAAAATGCCTATAAAGCAGAAGAAAATACCATAAGCAAACATGACTTATTTTTACAGCAAATGATACTAAGAAATATAATGCTTCTGCTACTGGAGATAATATATATATTCTATCCTTTGATAGTAGCTAGCAATACCTTTGTTCTTAATAAATTTATCTCATTTACTTCTAGTAAAAATGTAGTGGCTATAACTATTTATACAACTGATGATCTAGTTCAGCTTTGGTCCTGTTGATGTATCAAACCTTCAACCAATGCTTTACTCCATCCATTGCTTTTATTTTTAAGAAACCTCAATCATTTGTCATAGTATTTTGTATTGTATCCCAGCATTCTTCATTATCCTCATTATTTTGGTTAGGGGAAGACTAAAATGTGGTGTTGGAGATAACATTGATGTTGTGTGAAATGGAGACAGAAGTATCACTACTATTAGTTCACAAATTAGATGTAGGAGATGACCAGAAAAAGCCAGGGGGAAGGGTCAAACACATCATTAGACATGAGTTCCTTTGCACCTACAAGAGATCTAAGTCCTGCCCATCTTGAATTCCTTTGACTCTTACCTACTGCCAATTTGCTTTGGCCATTAGTAGTTCAAATTCTTGTAGAGAGCTTAAGCTTTTAATAAATCTTTGTGCTCATTTGAACTGTTTGGATTTTCTGATTTTCCTGGGACTTGACAGTAGCATTTGTTTTGTGCAAATACAGTTTGTGGGAATATGAAACAATAGGGATGTAATATATAGGAATATATTCCAAGAATAGAAAGTAAAATAGATGACCTTTATGGGAATATGCATGAACCACTATTAGGCAAAAAGAACTGAAGTCCAGGCAACAATATAACATTGGATATTGCTGCAGCAAATGCCTGCTTGATTCACTGGAATTGAGGAGGAATAATACAATCAGCCTTGCACAATTTTGTTATTACAGCCAAACTCAACAGAACTTTTTTTAGCCCTCCTGTGGAGATGATTTCCTCATCTGCTTTAGCTAGTGGAGCTGACACCAAGCAAAAATTCATCATTTTTAGTGGATTTTACATCCAAATTTTTGAACTTTGGTGCTGGAGAAGACTCTTGAGAATACCACGGGCAACCAAGAAAGCAAATAAATGGATCATTGAACAAATAAACTCAGAGTTCTCAGTCAAGGCACAATTTATTCTACTTTAAACACATTATGCAAAGACGTAGCTCTCCAAAGAAGGCTGTAATGCTGGGAAAGATAGAAGGAAAGAGAAGAAGAGGATAATCAGCAGCAAGACGGATGGACTCATTTATAGTGGTGATGGGGCTTCACTACTGGAAGAGCTGAAGGACTAGTTTAAGGACAGATCATCATGGAGAAAAATCTATCTACTATATATGATTGCTAAGAGTCAACAACCTCCTGATAACATAGAATCAATTAATCAACATCAAGAGTCAGAAGATCTGAAACTGAACAATGCACACACCCAATGTTCCATCCAAAATTCTAAGAATTTCATTCCTATCAATAAAGAATATTTATAGCTCAGGGCAAACCCCATTCCTCACTAGCAGGGATGGTATTATTTAGTTTGGGAAATGAAACATCTACAAGAAAACAACCAAGCTCAGAGAGCACCCATTTTCATTCCTGCTAAATAGGTTTCTTGTTTTAATGGTATTAGGAAAAACAGCCTCCTTCTCCAATCCATTTTTTGAACCTTTTTTCCCCTGCAGCTACATTAATTTAAATGATTTTCATTAAGAAAGAGAAATACGATAGCCAACATTTTATCAAGTAGTAACTGCAATATAAATCTCACATATTAGTATAGTCTCTTCCTTTCAGAATTTGTATTATGGGGTTTTTCAAAGATACTGTTACTTAAAAAATATAATGTGCAGCATTTTTCCACTTGAGCATCTTTTGAAACTGGTCTATTTAAATAAGAAGAGTGCCAATGTCAACACTGCAATATAAATATAAGATTGAGCATCACAGGTCATTTGTACCCAGTTTTCCATCTTTCCAAGAAATCATCTAAACTTGGTGTCCTTTGAATAAACATCTGATACATGGCTTGCTGACAATATTACACAAAGAATGCAAGCTCAGTTGTATGATGATGATATCAAGTTACATACAACTGACCTACTCCCACAAACACCGATAATCCTACAGTTCTGATGATCCTTATTATTATGACCATTCTCACCAATTTGGTCCTAAGAATGGCCAAATTACTTGAGAAAGTTTAACATATCCCAACTTAAAAAACAAACAAACCACTCACTAGACTTTTATCTAATACCTTCATAGTGGCATAATCTATCCAAATTTGATTAACTGATGTCAAAAAGTCAGGTTCCATTCTTTTATGCTGACATCGGCTTCTGTAAGTCTAGCATGGGTGATGTACTGACGATCTGTGACAGTTTAAAATAAGCTTGGAGATACCATATCTCAAAGTCATTTTTCTCTCAGCACTATTCCATAGGCATTTATTTTCCTCTTTGGGTGGGTGGGGGAAACCAAGATAATTTACCAAAATAAGCCATCAATGTCCAAACCACTAAATCTAGAAAGCTTTAATCTCAATTTAGTTTGTTTATGTTTAATTTAAAATGCATAAAGACAGGCAAAAAGCTTTAGAATATATAGCTCCTAAACTCATTTGTATATTGCCTTAGAAACCAGTATCTAATTGGCACTGCTAACTGTGCCTTACAAAGTTTAGATGTTTTCATAACCAGTATTTTTTCCAGGATATCACACAATTAGCTGATTGGCCACATTCTTTCTAACACACACACACACACACTCAAATGAGAAACAATGTTTAGCTCTTTAAAAAGACACATGTCAAAATATCACAGATCGTGCTCTTAAGCATAAATAGGCAATATGTTACTTTCAGTGCCATCTGACATATTTATCTGAAATGAGAATTATCTAAATAATCTTCTTCTAAATTGAGTAGAGCACTAAGAGCTCACAATTTTTCTGCAGAATCTATTGGAAAACTCTATCCTGGAATTGCCATAGAATTAGACATTCTAATCCAGGGGTTCTCAACCTTGGCAACTTTAAGACTTCTGGACTTCAAATCTCAGAATTCCTGGGAGTTGAAGTCCACAAGTCTTAAAGTTGCCAAGGTTGAGAACCCCTGTTTAAATCTAATAGACTATCTTGAATGAAAGCAAGCAAAAGAAACTGGTGACTCCCAGTGCACCACAACTGATTATTTATTGCCATATACAGATGAACTGGTTGTACAGCTAGAGTTTAAGTGCAAATTTTAAGAAGGAAAGAAAAAGTGAACTGGAGATTGTTGATCCATATTCTATATGGGGCAGGATGCAAATATCTGTTGTTGTATTTAGAAAAATCCTTTCCTTCAGGAAGGTAATCCAAGATATTTTCGCTTACCTGCTAGAAAAGATTCCATCGTCCAGTCAGCATCATTTCTGAGATTTTGTATTTGTCATTCTATATCTTTTTCTTACTCTTTTTAATTAACCTGCATTGTTCATATACTTTAAATAGCATAATTATTAATAACTGAGTGTTGAGGCCATCTTGCCCTCCATGCTAATTTCACTTGAAGGAAAGGAATCAGAGAAATAAATCTTAGCAACATGCCAGAGAATCACTTCTCTGGTTCTCGGATTTCTGAAATTTCCTTGGTCTGTTTTCTTGAAGCCCCAAGTCAGGGTCAGTTTTTAAATAACTGTACTTGATAATATCTCCCCTCTCTTAACCTCCTCTCTTTTTCTCTCTTAGGCTGTATCTCAAGGGTCATTCTGGAACAGCAGGGAAACAAAGCAGTCTGATATTACACGGTGCTGACTTTAGTACCAAAGATGCTGACAATGACAATTGTATGTGCAAATGTGCTCTTATGCTAACAGGAGGTAAGCATCCAGTTACGGAATCATACATAGTGTTTTGGTGAAATGACAGGGAGGAACAGAACATGATTACACTATTTCTGAATGATTGTAGATCTTATTTTTCAAGGGATTTCAGTAAAGTTTTAACATGGAAAATCCCAAGCTTTCTCTGTTACTAAATTTTGTACCCTTGGCTTTCTTCACTCCATGAGTAAAAATACACACTTAAGGGATCAAATGAAATAATCAGCATAATAAACTTGTCTCTTTGGGCTTTTTCAGACTAGAAAGTCTGATCAATCACCCAGAGAAAGTCAGAATGATGAAAATATATGCAACAGATAACACCAAAATCAGTAGCTGTATAATTCACACCTCCCAGTGAAAGAGCTGAAAAACATACTGAGGCAGTAAGAAAGAATTTCTCAGTTATACTGAGAATAAGATTTTTTAAAAATCCAAATCTTCTTATTTTCAAGGCAAGATAGCTGTTGATAAATTGCAAAGCAAATTTTGGAATAGCATTAGTTTATCTTTTGGATCCTAAATGTGCAAATGTTCCTGGTTGAGTATTAATTGAGTTTGATTGGATTGTAAAAACTGAGTTAGAATACTATGTATGTTTATATTTTTACCATATGCATTTTCCTATGAGATAGAAATTTAAACACTTGTCAATGATCAGACTTAAAAAGATGTATTGAAATAGCTTGGTCCCCAAACCAGTTGTGAATATAACTTAATAAAACAATTCATCTTAGAAATAATTGTATTCTGGACAGTAAAGTTCCTTATCAGACTTTCTGTTGGTCTTGGCAATCCATGTAGACAGCTCATTCATTATAAATTATATTAAAAATATACATGTGTTCTGTAGCTATCTTTGATAGACTGGATGGAATTCTGTAGTTTCTCTGAGAAATGCAGAATATATATGGCAAATAACAGCATGTATGAATGGAGCTGCTGACTAAAATAATCAGGGTTAACAACATTACATATACACATTGCATTTCTTGTTTAATTTGACATAAAGCAGTTTCTTGTAGGGAAATTAAATCTCCTTTTGACTAAATTCTGCGTTGCAACTAGGGATAGAACTTCAAAGTGTTGCGTATTTCTCTCTGTCTCTCTGTCTCTCTCTCTGTCTCTCTGTCTCTCTCTCTGTCTCTCTGTCTCTCTGTCTCTGTCTCTCTCTCTCTCTCTCTCTCTCTCTCTCTCTCTCTCACACACACACACACACACACACACAAAGAGGCGAGCATAACAACATGAATCCTGTAGATATTTCTTTTTCAGAGGTAAGTTAGGGATCTGTTTTGCATTTATATAGAAAAATATTCCCAGAATCATTTGTGGATTACTTACTTACATTTGAATAGAATCAACAAACATCAACAACTTATTGATGGGAAAAGATTCATATATATAAAAAGACATCCTATTACTTATTTTCTTGAGCGTATAAGTCACTCATGTGTGTGAACTGGATCACTCAGATCAGAAATAATAAATGGCCTCAAAGATCTGACAAAAGGAAACCTACTTAATCAAAGTAGTCAGTCATGAGCTCTAAAATCTACAGTCTAGTAGATTGTTCCTACAGGCATAATTTAGGTAGACTGTCATCCCATCCTGTGTTGGAATTTCTAGAGTTTAATTTGACTGGTTAAGAAAAATCTCACTAAATCTTTCATGGTATGATTGATTTTGTAAAGTAGATTAGTAATAGATACTACCTACTAATCCATACTTTTGGCAGTGTAAGTGGATCCAAGAGCTTCTTATGTAGACTTAACTCTGAAAAAGAAACAAACAAACAAGAAAGAGGATTAGTTTTTTTTTCTTTCTTGTTCAGCTTTGTCTTAAATTTCTACAAGATTACATTCTTGTTACAGTTAACCACCAGTTGATCTTCTTTCTTTTTTGTTGGTTATTAGCCCCTAAGGTACAATTTTGTTACCAAATATGGATCAACTGCATCAAAATAGCAGAATGCCAGAATATATCTGGCACTAATTCTTCCCCAAAGATTTTGTTATGAAGTGTTACTTTAGGAGTGAAGATCGTCAAAGTTTTGTAAATATGTAAAATATGCAAAAGAGGGCTAAAATAATAATCCAGTGGATTCAAACAGAAGAGTATAACCCCTAAAGTTATGGGTTAATTGTTGTTACTAATATTCCCAGTGTTTAAAAACAATGACTCTTTTTCTCCTGATACTGAAGTAGGCATAGCAGAAATAAATTCAAAGCTTCTTCAATGAATTTGTCCATCATCTCCAAAGACTAGATAGGAAATCCAGAATTTAAAGTTTATATTTTAATTAGAAAAATACCGTATTTTCCGGCGTATAAGATGACTTTCTAAAGCATGGAAATCGGCGCCGAAGTCGGGGGTCGTCTTATACGCCGAGTCGTCTTATACACCAGAAATTACGGTAGTTTCTGGCGTTTAAGATGACTTTCTAGGCATAGAAATCAGCGCCGAAGTCGGGGGTCGTCTTATACGCCGAGTTGTCCTATACGCCGGAATATACGGTAACAGTATCTAACCATTTTAGTTTGGGAAAAAATGTTATTTGATGGAGTCAAAAAAAATCTGACAGCATTCTGCTAATGATGTGCAATGAACTTGTTTGTTTTTTACCTCCTCTGCAGACCACTCTAATTATATCCTGTGTTTGCACAGTAACCTGGCTTTAAAACTTAACTAAATTGGCAGCTAACATCCTTCTCCTTTAGGGAGTCAGAAAATAAAATTCTTCAGCTTTAATGTCACCAATATGAACCTTAAAATTTGGTCTCATAAATAGGATTTTTGAAAGAGTAGCAATAGCGTTTTCTCCCACGTAAAATTGGAAGTGTCTTGGTGATGTTTCGACGAAGTCACATTCGTCATCTTCAGGCTGGTGCTTTCGGCTTCGTGCTACTAGGAGCAGTGTGTGGTTGTAGCTGTTTCCTCCTTTTAACTGCCAGTGGGGGTATGAACTGATTGGATGAGAGCTTGGCTGTGTTCTGATTGGATGGAACCAATCAGAACACACCTCCATCCAATCAGAACACAGCATTACACATTCTTAATGACTATTGCAATGCCCTACCTCAAAGTGAGAGGTAAAGGGAAGAGGGAAGAAGAAGAAAGGAAGACTGAATGAACAGAAAGAGAGATTGGGGAAAGAACAGTAGGACTGAATTGCATGCCTTATCAATGGACATGAGTAGTAAATAATGAAAGCCTTTTGCAGGTAGTCTTCAACACAGAACCATTGGTTTAGTGACAATTCAAAGTTACAATGGCATTGAAAAAATGGTAACAGTCACAGCATCCCCAGAGTCACGTGATCAAAATCTGAGTGCTTGGCAACTAGCATGTTTTTACAATGATTGCAGTGTCCCGTGGTCATGTGACTATCCCAGCTAGCTTTTGACAAGCAAAGTCAATAAGGGGAAGCTGGATTCACTTAACAACTGCAGTGATTTGCTTCACAATAATGGCAAAAAGGTCATAAAATAGGGTATGAATCAATTAACTAACTTGCTTAGCAACAGAAACAGCAACCCAATTGGTTTGTAAGTCAAGGACTATCTGTATAATAGGGGGATTTAAATACTAGAATGCTGAAAATGGAAAGAAAAAGGAGGGTTATTTGGTTATTAATCTGTGAGTTCAAAACGGCTCCACTTAATTTTTTTATTTCTTATAATTACATCAATTCAAATAGAATCTGATAGAATCAGATAGTTTTATGTAAAAACCATAGGGCTTCTCCCAATCTCCCAGCATTAGAAGTGAAATAGTAGAGCTTGGAGAGCTAGAAACATTAAAAATGAAAACCAATACTTATGATTTTACCAAGCATGCATATTCCCACAAGGTTCCGCCTTGCCCATTTGAGAATCTAACTAAGCTCTGCTAGTAAAATGATACACTGATTCTCTACAATCTAATTATTCTAGTTTCGATTGTTTGAGTTCATTTCTCTTCAGTGCCATCCACAATGGAGGAGAATCTGGAAATGTTTGTTTCTCAGTGATTTATTTGGCCATGTTTACCTCTTAAAAGTTTGGCTCCAAATATTTAAACAACAACCAAAAAAAAAAAAAAAAAACCTGCCGAGGACAGAATTTGAGTTCAGATGACTGCATATTTTCAAGAAATAAATGGTGTGCCTTTCCAATCCCTTCCATGCTGACAAGCAATCTTTGGGAGATAGGGACACTTTTTAAGGCAATAATCCAGGCAATTTGTCAGTACAGACCAGCTTTTTGCATCTTGGTTCCCTTTACCATAATTGGATGAAGGTGAACTAGAAGGCCATTTCTCTTCTCTTCATCTTAAAGCAGTGTCCTATATACATCATGACTTGTGGCATGATGTGGATTTCATCATTTTGACAAAAGCACCAGAATAACAGAGTTGGAAGAGACATTGGAGGTCTGTGGTCCAAATCTCTGCTCAAGCAGGAAACCCTGTACGATTTCAGACAAATGGTTGTTCAATCTCTTCTTAAAAACCTCCAGTGTTGCAGCACCCACAGCCTCTGGAGGCAACTCATTCCACTGATTAATTGTTCTAACTGTCAGAAAATTTCTCCTTAGTTCCAGGTTGGTTCTCTCCTTGATTGATTTCCCTCCATTGCTTCTTATCCTGCCTTCAGGTGCTTTGGAGAATAGGTTGTGCACCTCCTCTTTGTGGCAGCCCTTAGATATTGCTCTCATGCCACCACTAGTCCTTCTTTTTATTAAAGTAAATATATCCAATTCCTGCAACCATTCTTCATATGTCTAGGCATTCAATCCCCTAATCATTTCGTTGCTCTTCTCTGCACTCTTGCTAGAGTGTCAACATATTTTATATTATGGTGACCAAAACTGAATGCAGTGTTCCAAGTGTGGTCTTATCAAGGCATTATAAAGTGGTATTAACACTTCATGTGATCTTGATTCTATCCCTCTCTTAATGCAGCCTAGGACTGTGTTAGCTTTTTTGGCAGCTGTAGCACACTGCTGGCTCATATTTAAGTGATTGTCCACTAGGAGTCCTTAAATGTCTAAAATCAGTTATCTGGAATTATTTCCACCAGAAATGCCAAGGACTGAAATTGGATATTTTTTGTATATACTCTTAAAAAATTCACTGTTGATTGAAAAATCCTGGAAATCAGCTTAACAGATGTTGCTCATAATTTTAATAGTTAACACAAACAATAAAAAGGTTCAATGAAATTATCCAATGGGCTATAGCTTGTTCTAGTACCAACATCTCATAAAAAACTGTCCATGCAAAAATGCCTATGAGTGAGAACTGGTAAAGGAGGGATATCAATCATTTTGTTTTGGGTCTGCAGGAAAGAAAATAAATAGAAATAATATTTGTTGTTCTGAAAAGCAAAGATAACAAGAACCTATGCTAGAATATAACCTTAACATGTCCAAAATCTTATTTTTAAACACTTACTTGGGAACTGCAATTATGTTTATTCATTGCATAAGCTCGCATGGTGATAATGTTGAAATCATTCAAGGCTTTGCTATACTGTATATAAAGATAAAATTAGCTCACAATTAGTTGAATATGAAGAGATGTGTAGGATAAAAGCATAGCATCATGCTATCTGAAAATCATATTTCTATATTAATTAAGAAAAGTGGAATTAAGCTTGAATAAAACTTGGAGATAACATTTGTAAGGCCAGATTAAAATTAATCAGGAGCCAATTTGAGACTAAATACATTTCCTACTGTATAGTTCCAGAGGTAAAGCTAGATGTAAAGCTGGGTTAGGGTTAGAGATTAGGGTCTACTTTAATAGTGAGTAGTCCACTTTCTTAACGTTTTAATTATTCATAATATTATTTTAGCATTTATAATATTACATATAAGCATAGATTGTGATTTTCTTATTTGCTATTATAAAGTATGATAAAAAGCAAATGTGAAGATCCACAGCTATAGTTTATGGCAATAAATTTGCATGCAACTTTTATGCTGAAGTTTAAAATGGCCACAAATGCTATAAAAAAATTAGATGTTCAAAAAAAAAAAGAAGCACTGAAAGTACTCTTCTGATAATATATAGATTCTGCTGGGATTAAATTTGTTTTGTTTTGTTCTTCCAATAGAGGCTTAGTCAGGTAAAAGCCAGGAAGAATTCAATATGTCTAATATTGATCTTTTGTTGATACAAATCCACAAAGATAATTAGAACTGGAAGGGTTATATTTACCTGAATTAATTGAATAGGGTAGCCAGAGGATATTTTATGGACTTTTCAGAAAGCAAAAGAAAAAAAACCACTGCTTTAAACATACATAGAATTCTTAAATTGTACTGCTCTAAGCATTTGTATTATTCTAAACATTCATAGAATTCTTAAATTAAGAGTAGGAGAATGAACCTCAAGTTACCTAGTTTGTCTTTCATTCAAACATAGCGCCGTCACAACCAGCTTAATTGGGTCAATTGTATGTTTAGTGTGAGAACTTCAAAATAGCATCACCTAGATTAATGAAATTCCAACTCGAATTTAACTCAGAACAGTTCCTGTTAGATCTGGTATTAAATTCACTTTATCTAGTCAATAAAGTCTTCTCTCCCATCTGGATGTCTTATAGTCTCCTAATCAGAGAGTTAAGTGTCCTTTCAGACAACTATGGTAGAGATAACCTGGAGAAACCATAGGATTATTTTTCTATGTTTGTTTTAGATGCCAAACTCACTTTTATACAGGAGCATCTGAAAAAGAGACACAATATATAATTTATCTATGATAATGCTAGCCTTCACTGTTGTTTTTATTTATATTATTATTTATTTAATTTTACCACCACCACCAATGGAGAAAGGATTTTTTTAACAAAAACTGAATGAATCACCTTTGCGATGGCTAGTAGTTCTAAAAATAATTGATTCTCTAACATTATGAGATCTTGGTTTAGAAATATGTAGCTAACTAACGGTGGGAGAATAATTCTGGAAAAGGGACTAACAAATAATACCAAATGGTCAGTTAACTTTTTGTGGATATTTAGCTTTAATAATTAGTGGAGAAATTCCTAGCTGGAAATCTAGGCTGAAAATTAGGCAGCAAAAATTACTAGATATATATAAAGCCAGCCACCTGTAACCTGGTATGGGATCTTATTTAAAGGCTAGAGAGAAGGAGTCAAAATATAGAAGAGCTAATTGGCAGCAAATAGAACTTGTATTTGTTGAAATATTTGTCCTAGTTCCCCCCCCCCCAAGAATAGAATCCATATGCCACATTATAAAATATATTATAAAATTCCTTTGCTTATAGGAGCAGCTCATATTTAGCTCTAAAAATGGTTTTGTAATTTTCTTTTCTTTTATTTTGCTTTGGGAAGGTTGTCTACTTCTAAATATCAGCCTCAGTCCTCCAAGCACACAAAAAGAATGGTGTGGTTCTTTTTATCAAGCCTCAAATTATTTTTGCATGTTTGCTTAAAAAAGCTAGAACCCTTACATCATCGCTAGCTTCGCTGCTGAGTTACCATACATTTGCTCATCAGCTTCATATTGCAAATCAAAAACATAATGGATCATTAGTTAATGAGTCTGTTTTGTTCCTAATGCTTTTAGGTTGGTGGTTTGATGCCTGTGGCCCTTCCAATCTCAATGGGATGTTTTACTCAGCTGGACAACACCATGGAAAAATAAATGGGATCAAATGGCATTACTTCAAAGGTCCAAGTTATTCATTACGGTCCACAACTATGATGATCCGTCCCTTGGACTTTTAAAGAGCCAAGAAGATAGTGGCCTTCTGAAGGATACCATATATAATCTTTACAAGCAGAAGGTGAAAACTCTCTGAAAATATTGGATTCCAACATCCGAGTTGTCTTTGGATCTTATTTCACTGGCTGCAGTAATCAAAGACAAGTCGCTGTCCAATCCTGGGACAGATGAAACTGTGGATTATGAATAATATAAAATAGCTTTTTTGGCTATTCAGTGGACAACTTTAAGGTTCAGTTGCCACAAATAAACTGGTATCTTTTAACCAAAGCCTTTTTTGCTGTTTTTTTTTCTTTTTTTGCTTTGATCAAGACAAATTTTAAAAATATAGAACATGCAAACCAAGTGGCCTTTTGAAAAAACAGAAATAAAGTCTAATGGATGGCAGAAGATGTTTGTCTATCAGGAAAATGGTATCAGATCAAACTGCTATTTATTTGTAGCCCCTTAAAATGCAACTATGGCCTCTTAAGAAAATGTGATTGAGATGGAAAACTTCTCTTTAATACCAGAACAATATGGCATATAGGAGTTATTTCTCATTAAACCCATTTCAAACATGGAATATCCTTCAAAGAGTCAATGAATCAAGTTGGACATAAAAATAAGAGCAATATGCAAGAATGGTTAGTTGACCAGTATGGCTAGGCTAAAATTTGGCAATCTAGGTAATTGGATTCTTCCAAATATTTCAACTATGATAACAAAAGGAATTATGGATTTTTCTTTCTGATTGCTCCAGCTTTACTTTGCTTCATATGATATTCCAATATGAATGTCACATGAAAAATAAAGAAAAATAAAAAGCAGAGCTCTTTTTAAAAATGCAAAATCAAGATTATTTGTACATAGATTTATGACATGGATACACAAATACAAAAAATATGAAAACAGCATAACCATGTATTAACTGGATTTACTTTATCAGTCTTTCTGGTTTGCATGTACACATGTAAATGTTATTTGTAAGTGGCTAGATTTTCACATCTGTTATTCAACCTTCATTTGACAGAATTCAACAGAAAACTATGAGTTATTTCCTATCCTTTATTTACACCTTTGAACAGTGGTTTGGAAATTAAGGCATACAAGAGAAGAAAGAGATTACAGATACGGATTCAAATACCCAGAATGGAAAGCAGTTATATTAAATTGCTTTGATATAATTTAAATGGGAAAACAAAACTCCTATTTAAAATTAGTAGGATTGAAGTTTAGTTCCCTAGGTCATTATCTAGATGGTACACATAATCTTGGCTTCAGAGAGTTCTAAGATTGTGGGTTATTGTGTTTTCTACTTGTTTCCAATACATCCATAATCAAAATTCCATGTGCATTCTAATGAGTGTTGAAACCTAGTTCATATATTTGCCAAGGTTACAAGGTCTTTCATCGATATTTCAGCTTCCAATGTACATCTAACATTAGACACAACACCATATCTGAGGAACGTTGGAAGTTGAATCAAACCATCAACTCATCTCGCTTCTATTTTTATGGTTTTAGAAAAGCATAGACTTTGGCAGTAAACTGTGATCCATCATTTATATGTATGCTGATCATTTACATATAAACATGATATTACTTATTTTTAACTGTATTCCATTTTCCCCTTGGGAAGATTATATTAATTTGTTGATTCAACAATATATACATATGTGCCTTTAAATATTTCCTCAAGATAAAGAGACTTATGATAAGCAAAATACAGAAAGATAATTTAGGGCTTTTATGCATTTGGTCTTTTTATTGAAATTAAATGGGAAATTTTGCACCCAGACTTCATGTTACTAAGCAATTTGTATCATTTGAACACGCTAAGTGAAGAACATGTATTGAGATAAATTCATTGTGTGTGGGGGGAAAATCTTAAATTCCCGTTGGGAAAGATAAAATTTTCAACCATTTTTCAAAGTCAGGACTTCCCATTATCTGCTGCTCAAAGAGTACAGGGAGAGAATTGCCTTATAAGGTTTTCCCCTGAAATTTAATAGAAACCCAGGAAATCAAGGAGGTCACAGATTGCCAGAGAGATGATTGTACAGGGAAATAGTGGACATTCATATATACACTTCTTGGTCACTGTGTAATAAATAAGAGCAGAAATGTCAAAGTCCGCCCATAAGGATTAAAAAAACTGTGAAAAAAATTCTGAAGCATCAAAGCAAAGGAGAACTGGTTGAAAACATTCAGGAATGTTGAAAAAACAACAACATTTTTTTCACCCACCATTAATTCAAGCAGATTCATGTGAAGTGGAGAGAGACTATGGCTCAGTGGTACAATATATCAACATGTAGAATTTCTAAATCCTGTTCTTGTATCTCAAGAGCCGTGATGGTGCAGTGGTTTGAATGCAGTATCACAGGTTAATTTTGCCCACTGCCAACAGTTCGAACCTGACCAACTCAAAGTTGACTCAACCTTCCGTCCTTCTGAGGTCGGTAAAATGAAGACCCATAATGTTGGGGGTAATATGTTGACTCTGTAAACCACTTAGAGAGGTCTGTAAAACACTGAAGTTTAAGTGCAGTTTAAGTGCAATTTCTATTGCTATGTCAGAAAGTTCATAAAAAAACTTAAGTGATACAAGTGCCTACCTGAACTACCCTTCTATCACAATTGATAATCCTGGACTAGATAGAGAAACTGTATGATCTGGTAACTCATCTTTTTATGTTCCTGACTTTCTGCTATATTACAATGAGGTTCTCATTTTCTCAAGACAGTAATTATTCTCTCCTATTATGTACATGACTGATGGCTCTGAAATTAAAACATCATTGGGTTTAACCAATGTATGAACCCTTTTTAATTATTTTTAATTAATAATTTCTATTGTATCTAATACAATTGTCTCAGTTTCCTGTTAATCCAGGGAAATCATGTTTCTTCTGTGTATGGAACAAAATCATTCATTTTTAAAACAAAATATGAAAGAATAAGGATGTACCACAGTGTTCTTTGTAATTGGGATAGTTTTCAAGTTAAGTTGTGTATTTATGTATTTGTTTATATTTCAGTGGTTTATATATTCAGTGGTTCCTGCCAACTGTTGCTTTTTCTCTTATTTCAACAATCTTCATTTATGTCCAAAGATTGTGGTGCTTCTCATTAGTGGCATTTTTTTTAAAGTCACCAAATCTGAACTGCTACTGTGTGGACCCAATTATAAACAGTGGAGGGTTTTTAAAAAGTCAAACCTACAAGCATATTTACTGTTTATTTATCTCTGTTTGAAGAAATGGGGGACATGATTTCCTATCCTTTATAATAAAATGTTTAAAACATGCTAGATGGTTCTTTATTTTAACTTGGTTGGGAAATGCATTTTTGTGGCAGCCCTGCTCTTGAAATTCAACATTTTAAAAAGAAAGCTGAAGAATATTTCAAATCACAGTCAGAGAGGGGATGAAAAGCTGCACTCTAAAAACTTTACAAGGGGGTGTGATGATTCAGTGGTTAAAGATGGTGAGCTTGTCAGTGGAAAGCTGACAGCCCGAGTTCAAGACCCAAGTGCTGTGTGACAAGGTGAGCTCCTGTCCTTGCCCAGCTCCTGACCACCTAGCAATTCAAAAGCATGTATATGCGAATAGATAAACAGTTACCACTTGTGTATGAAGGTAAAAGCGTTCTGTGTATACTCATGTTGATCACATGATCATGAAAATGCCTTCAGCTAAGAAATGGAGATGAGCATTGCTAGAGCTGGAAACAACCAGACAGGGTAAACCTTTACCTTTTCAAACTTTACACAAGGGGAAGTGTTTTCTTTCTCAATAATAAAGCTTTTTTCTTTTTCTTCTGATGTTCTAAATGCTGATCTCATCCAACTGATTATTATATGATTTGGATTTTTATTTCTTGGTTAATCATGCCTGTTCTCCTGGGTCATTTACAAATGAAACTGAATTACTTTTTTCTCCATCCTTAATTACTTTTCGTTCTTTAATCATTCATTCACGAAAGTTGGCACTGGCCACTCTCAAATGATTTTAATTCTTTTACCTCGAGCCAGCTATTGTTTCCCATAGCTATTAGGGAGAAAGTATTTTAACCATTGCTTTGAAATAGATTTATCCACATTTTTTTCAAGGAACTGAAATGCAATTAGACTTCTTCAATGAGCACATTGATGCCAGACTAACTTGTTTTACAAAACCAAAACAAAAGCAGAGGCTGATGAAGCAGTGTGGTTTAATTCTTAATAAAAGGTGCTAGTTTGCCAGGGCAAAAAAATAAAATAAAAATCTCTCATCAAAGTGAATTTTGTGGTGGGTGATGGTGGAATTTATGATATATAAATGGAGTTGATTAGGGCAGATCACTACTATAATTCTTCTTCTTCTTCTTCTTCTTCTTCTTCTTCTTCTTCTTCTTCTTCTTCTTCTTCTTCTTCTTCTTCTTCTTCTTCTTCTTCTTCTTCTCCTCCTCCTCCTCCTCCTCCTCCTCCTCCTCCTCCTCCCTCCTCCTCCTCCTCCTCCTCCTCCTCCTCCTCCTCCTCCTCCTCCTCTTCCCAGCTTTCATGCTAGGATACTGATGGAATGGCCAAGATTTATATCCAGCATAATAACATGATCTGCAAACATTATACCTATCCTACAATTTGGATACACAGTAGCAGCAGTTTATAACCTAAGCTGAATCTTTGCAGTAACAGTGTAATATCTCAAAAAACAAGATTGTGCAGCCAACATCTGATGGCAACTTTAAAATTAAACATGTTTAAGACTTCATTTAATTTTATTTTATATCCACATTCACAGAATAATAAAAGCCCTTTTCTACCTCCATTCCTATCTGAAATCTCCATCACACTTAGTTTAATAATATCACCATGTCATCAACTCATCTACTGAAATTGTTGGCTGTATAAAAATTCAGTCAAGGAAAATCCAATTGGAAGAGGGGACACATTTTTGATCCAATGATAATCAAAAATAATAATCTAGTGATAACCAGATAATAATAATGCAGCAATGAAATGGAGCAATTGTACAACAACACAACAATCCAAAGATCAAAAAATAATAATCAGAATAGTATAAATGAGAATAGTATAAATGAGAAATACACCATGATTTTTTAAAAACATTTTTGGGACAAGAGGACTAGAAAATAATAGAATTATAGAGTTGGACAAAGATCCATCCAGTTTTCAAACCTTTGCAATGTGCAAAAAACCAATTGAATCATCCATGGGAGAAACTTGTCCAGATTTTCTTGAAAATTCACAGATAATCTGAGCCTTCATAGATGAGCTTCAGTGTTATATAGATCTTACCATTGTGGAATCTTTTGTTATACTTAAATGAAATCTAGGGAGCTGCAGTTTAGAACCATTATTTTTGGTGTAAATATCTATAATCGTGGATAATGGTTCTTAAGGGTAACTGTCTCCCCTGTGGCTTTTCTTTATGAATGTAAATATGACTATGAAGTTTCCCTTTTTCTCTTCAGAATAAACATCCCATTCTTTAGCCTATACTCACTGGGCATATTCTCAACTCTTTTCACTGGTCTCTCCTGAACCTTTTCTAACTTGCTGATATTCTTCTTAGACTGTACAGAATTTTATCATATTTACATCATAAAATTATTATATACACACACACACAAACACTGTATATATTCCTAGGGTGGTCTCAACAGCACTGAGTAGAGATGAATAATAACTTTATATGTCTTAGATATGTACCTGTCTTCCAATACAGCCAGAACTGTGTTGGTGTTCGAGAATCTTTCACAAACAACAGTTCAGTTTAGGAACTGTAATTCATAAGTTCAGCTTGTTGTCAGTGACCACATCCAACTTCTTCCAAGGCACGTGTATAGACAGCAATCTCATTCTATTATCCTGTGTAGACTTTCCAATTTTTCATAACCCATGAATCTGGTGAACGGTTCATAAATCGTATTATTTTATTAATAAAAATATTGAATAATACTGAACCCAGGACAGGATATAGGACCCTACCAGTACCATTCTCTGCTGCAGAACCCTTACTGCTGTTTGAAAATTAACAGAATCTTCACTCTTGCTAATTCAGAAATTCTGAGAACAAGATATGAAAACCACTATGCCAGGGATTCTGCAGCAACAAAATTCCATTCATTTCCACAATGGAAAGTATAAAAGAAAACCAGATAGATCAGAATTTTGTAGATATAGTGTTTGGGTCCCTGTTCAACAGAAGAGGAAAGTTGAACAAAATTTTAACAATTTCATCTCTGGAATTGCTTTGAAGTTACTCCTCCTGGACAGTTACTCCTCCTGAGGGGGTAATGTGAAGCTACCAAAATAGCAGTCCCCTTTCAAGCCCCACAAAGAGAACTAAATCTCTGAAGGCAGGAAAATGGGCAAACCAAGTTTCCTTCCAGTTGCGACTATTTCAAAGTACCGTTGAAACAAATATTAGCTTCACTGCATTTTGATTATATCAACCAGAAATATAATATTAGCTGTCCCAAACTGCCAGTATTGTGGGATTGCAGAAAACTAGATCAAATTTAAAATGAGAAGCATCCTCATATGGAAGCAGTCACACATTTTGAAAGCTCTCAAATGGTAATACCACCCTGAGCTATTTCTCCCAAAGCCAGATTATGAATTTAAATCAGACTTTCTTCTTGAAGCCATAGCAGATATCTCTACAAGAAGGGTGAAACTGTCCCACAATTTTCTTTTTTTAGTTTATTGACACTGAAGCTAAACTATTTAATCATAAGACATCTATATTTCATTAAGTGGAACAAATAATAGCCTCTTGAAACTCTACCAGTTGATCTCTAAAGCTGCAATTCAACCTTGAATATGAAAGCCTCTAGTAATTTTATCAGCAGAGAATCTATGTTGGTGTACAAAATATGAATGCATGACACAACCTAGAAGAACAGTTATTTTCTTAAAGATGTTAGTGGTGGTGCCGTACATTAGTGTGGATGCCTCAAGAAATACTCTATAGTTCTATCTTGGGTAAGAAACTCATCATTCAGAGAAATTAACCTTAAGAAATATTTATTTTTCCATATTTAAATATCAATTCATCTTCCAGAAAGCCTTTCATGTTTAGTAGTGTCTTCTCTGGAAGAAATTACAGATTTCTGGTTTCTTTACATTCAGAACAATAACTGAACAATTTATTTTCTTTGGGAAAATGGAACATAATTTCATAATGTATATTTTCTTTGCTTCTTTAAACCTTTAAAAGATATTGGCTTTAGTTCTTGATTCAAATCCCTTATATGTTGCTGTATTTTTCCTGTCCTGGGAATGTGATTCTTTTAGTGGAACAGCCAAACAAATCTTGGTCTTCTCAAAACTGGAGTAGAAACTTCTTCCAATGTTTTAAGAAAACAACAAATATCATTTCAATTGACTTAAAGCTTCTTTGTTTCCTAAAAGTGGGAAAAAATAAAATCAGGATGTTGGTGCAAGCTGTCAAGAGCAGATTTTCCTAACTTAGATGTGTGGGAATCAGAACTCTGATCATGCTGGTCCTGACCATTGAGTTCAACACATTTGGAGGATGCCAATTTGTTAAACCTGGTCTAGAACTTTATAATCACAGTCACTGGTTAGTTTACAGATAATCATTAAGTTACAACTGTATTTAAACCTGTCCATCACAGTCATAACCCATGGTGGTCATAAATAGAATCATGGTGGGTGATTCTATGGATGGTGGGTACATGACCAACCAAATTTTATGACCTTTTTTACTGTGGTCATTAAGCAACACCACAGTTGTTAAGTGAACCAATGCTTTGCTATGAGCCAGTTTTGCCAAAAACGGAAAGTAAATAATGATTTTCAGCAAAAACATTATAAAACATGGTCATGTGACCATGAAATACTGTAAATGGCCATAAATGTGGTTTAGTTGTCAAGCCCCTGCAGTGCAGTCACATGACTGTGATAGTGGGGGCATCAAATACATACACATTTACTTTAAAACTGCATTGGAGATCTATATATAAGAATGAGTTGCCATTTGCACAATCTTTGTGAATGCATTGTACCTCTGGTGACACTTCTGCATCAATGCTTATCAGAGTTACTTTGACTTCAGATGATATTTTTTTCTTATAATTGTTGGGATAATGTCAGCCACCTTAAGAAAGCTGGATAGTTATTTCTCTATATCAGATACATTCCCAACATGTGCAAAGGGAAGAAGAAACCAGAAGATAAAACTGGATATATCTAGTTTAATGAAAAGAAGAACTAGGGGTGACATGATAGCAGTATTCCAATATCTAAGGAGCTGCCACAAAGAAGGGAGAGTCAAT